CTGTAGACACAACTTCTACTCCGTAAGAGTTGCAAAATGCTGGGATTCGCTGCCTACTGAACTAGTCCAAGCAACTTCTCAGGAGTCCTCTAAGAGGAAACTAGACCTATTCTTAAGGACTAAGGATAACATATTATCTTGATCTACCAAATTCTTTTTTCCCTCTATTATCGTTAATGTACCTAGGTTCTTGCCTGAGAGTATTGGTGATCCACTGCTACTAGACACGGAAGCCCGTTAAGTGAAAGCTTCTTCTATTCCGTCCATAACCATTTGGATTATCGACTTTTCCATCAAATCACCAACGAGTGGAATTCATTACCTCAGCGCGTGACTGAGGCTCCATCCGTAGACTCTTTCAACAGAAAGTTGGATCAACTGAGAGACCGTCATCGCCAGGACTAACACAGGCCATCAAGCTTCCTGTCCTTTCCAAACTGAAACTGGTAATACTAAGGGTTGCTGAATATACACTTATCAAATGTAACTCGGATAAAATGTGTGTAATCTTTTAGTATGCAGAATTTATTTGCATACCATAAGTTGGAAATTCTCGCCCCAGCCGACCCACTTACTAAAAGACAGCAATCGATTGCTGTACTAAAAGACGTCCATTAGTAAATGTGACAGTACATCCAAGTATGTGGAGAGAAGTAGTGCGGCCAAGGCACTCAGAACTTGAACGAAAACCGAGGTGTCCCTTAGGAATAAATCACCATGAGTTATTTAGACCGAAGAGTAGGAGGAAGTCTGTATCTCATACATAAATGAAAGCGAATTCATACTCACTGTATTTGTTCAGTGTGCGTACTTTTTACAAACGTTGATCTATTTAAACACATAAACATTGGTACAAAGAGGCACCGAATTTATATGCGAAAGCTTCTATTCCGTCCTCAACCATTTGAACCATTTGAAAAGTGGTGCACTTCACATGATTCAATAGTAGTTCCTTGAGTGTTGTATAAGGTAGTGAGATCGGCTTATATGGACATGCCAAAGTTTTTATTAAACTGTAGACTTCTTGACTGATGAATGTCAGAAAATGTGCCACAATTTCGCCACCCTTCATGCCTTTCTTGGTTATGCTTTATATCTCAAACCTTCGAAAATAATCTTCAAATGCTTCAGAAGTTGAATGAACGTCCAACTGTTGTACCGCAGGTTCATCGCGACGCAATGTGATAATTAGAAGTATTTTATTTATAGTATGAACTAGTAATCCCAGGAATAACGCAATTTAATCAAGAAGTATCAGATGAGCACAACGAATGTACTGTATTTTTTTATTCAAAATCAAATCAGTCATCAATGCAAAGAAATCATTGATTCATTTAAACACCACAAGCACTTTTGCAATCATGAGGGCTATACATTGATATATAGACGTTCGCAGTAGATCGGCTAAGCGAATGTCACAACTGATTAATTACTTGCCATCCACTCGGATAACGCCCGATTCTCAATTAGCAACAGCATGGGTAGATTATTTTCGCCCTACGTACTACTTACGTACGCCTGTTACTCCCATTGGAGCATAGGCCGCCGACCAGCATTCTCCAACCCACTCTGTCCTGGGCCTCCTTTTCTAGTTCTATCCAGTTTTTGTTCATTCTTCTCATGTCTGTCTCTATTTCTCGGCTTAGTGTGTTCTTTTGTCGTCCTCTTCTGCTTTAGCTTTCAGGATTCTATATGAGGATTCAATGTGTGTCCTATCCACTTCCAGCGCTTCCTCCTCATTTCTTCCTCCGTTGGAATCTGGTTTGTCGTCTCCCACAGTAACTTGTTGCTGATTGCGTCTGGCCAACGGATCCGAAGTATCTTGCGTAGACAACTGTTGATAAACACCTGTTGTAAGATCCAAACCTAGTTCCAACTAGGTAAGGAATGTTGAACAACTGGATAGTAAAAGTTAAGAAACTCGAAAACCCCAGTCGAAATCAGAACAAGTTTTTTGGGGTAATAGCGGTTCTAATTTTCATCATATATACGAATGAACAAATTTACCTGAATAAATATTACCACCCGGTTATTCAACCAACAATTGATACCAAAATATTCAATCTAAATTACAATGAATAGCAAAGTGGTAACAAATCTATGAAAATTACCGAAAACACCAGAAGGTGAGTGTTATTCTATCCTTTCTAGATAGATCAAGTAAGATTCCGTTTGAGCGGCTATTTTATAACATAAAGTGTTTCAATATCTGGGAAAGTGCTCCAAATTACAACCAAAAATGCACGATCCCAGTCAAAATCAAACCGCACAATCAAAGAGCGAGCATTCAATATGGCACCCGCCATAATAATAACAATTAAAACAAACTAAGGACAGTTCGGTAAGGAACATAGAGGCTAAATAAAAACGATAAGAAAACCAAGAAAATTAAACGTTACAGACTTAATTAGCATCAAAAAAGTTAACAATATATACAAATAAAGAAACCACAAGGAAGAAGTCACAAATGTGTGCATGAAGCGATTTTCACTTCAAAAATGGATCTAACACCTGTATCTTCTGGATGATGGCTTTCGTAGTTCCCCACGTCTCCGCCCCATACAGTAGAACTGTCTTCACATTTGTATTGAAAATTCTATTATTTTCGCCCGATCGTGATTAAAGGGGGACGCATATTACAAGTTTTACGGATGCCTATTCACACTAGCAACAAGTGCTAGTATCAATTTAATCTTATAATTTTTAATACCTCTGTCTGTCGCACGACTAAATGTTAAGCATTGTTAATCCTTCATATCCAAATGCCTTGTTGCTCCTCAGTATTTTTTCACATCAGAATCTTGCTCTGAGGGAGAAGTTGAGGAATTCCTGACATCTGGAACAAACTCGACGTACGCACTTTCCCAAGGTCATAGCTCCCACCAAGCGCTCCATAAGTCTACTTTATAACAACCATAAACTTAAAAAGTTGCATTGCATAAATACTTAGCACGACCAAAATTCTAATACAATTTTTGCCGAGATTGGATCTGGCGTGTAACGTGGATGCGATGCCACTTTGGAAAATATTTTGAAGACTACACAGTGTATCTGAACGAATGAACTGTTATTAACTTTCATAGATTATATTTACTAAACAACCTGCTTGGGATGCATACTGTGAACCAGTAAATGTTATAGCTTGTAGATCATTCCTGTAAAAACGGCGTGTACCTGCCCTTCCTGAAATATATTATATTAATATTATTACATACTTCAACACTTAGCAGTTTGTATAGAAGCTGCTTGCTCACTATCACCCGATTCCTTTCTCATGGCGTTGTCTTGATTTTCGAATCGCAGTGAAGTGACGAAGAAGTTATAGAGGAACCAATTTCGTTGGGTTAGAGAAGGACTTACAATTCCTATTGCCAGACCTGAAAGATTATAAAGTAGACAAAGAAATGAATTGACGGAGCATAGAATGGGACTACAATACCACCCACGCAAGTCATCGTGCAGGAATATGGAAAAAAATAATAAGCGTAGGTCGAATTTTGAGTCCCGTATCTAGTGAGCAGATCATATCTTATGAGACACTCACCACTTATCTGATTGGAATAGAAAAAAATATTTAATGATATATACGAATATTCGTCAAGATTAGAACGAATAGTTTGACAATAATTTAATGATAGATCTCTGGTACCAGTTTACGATGGCCCAGAACAACTCGAGACATTGTTGTAAAATCCAAACTAAGTTTGGCTGAAGAATAACTGTTGGAAATAAATAAGAGACGCGTGCTGCCCAATCGAAATCAGAACAAGGTGACTGAGGTAACAGCAGTTCTAAATTTCATCATAAATAAAAATGTACAATTTTACCTAAACAAATATTACCACTCAGTTATTCAACCAATAATTGTCCCCACAATAATCGATCTAAATTACAACAAATAGACAAATTGATAAGAAATATAAGAAAATTACTGAACGCATCAAAAAATAAGTGTTATTCTTTCCTTTCTGGATAGATCAAGTAAAAATCCGTTTGTTGATTTATAACACTGTAGCTGTAAATAATTCCCCAAAATCAATAGCTTTCTAAGTGTTCGACATTGGATGCTGACCACGTGTTTAAGTGGACTTGTTTAGCTGAAGGCTTTCGGTCATGCATCCGCATCAGATCACGTTTCGACTCGGCGTGGGACACAGCTCCTACGTTTCATTAGCCAGCTCATAGAAAAGGTCCTCGATATATTGGTAACGAATCAAATATATCTTTCCTGCCTCTTCTCGTCTGACTTCTGATTTCTATCTGACTGGGAACGATCGAACGTAGAAGGTGCTACTGGTAACTAGTTGTAAAATTAGAACATCCGTTGCATCATCATTGGTGAGACCGACGTGATCTGGTACACCAAGTCAATATACTGTGAGTCTGTTCCATTTTAGAATATTATTATTCATTGTTATTCTTTATTTGAATTTTATATATTGTGATATACTTTTTTTCGCGAATTTTTTTTCTCGGATATATTTTAATCAGACATTTTTCGTTATCTATATTACTATGACGGAACACTCTCCTAAGGTTCTTAAGTTTAAGTCTATTCCCCCTATTTCGATTCAGTTAACGCCATTTTGGCCCGACAATATCGAATCTTGGTTTTGCTATGCAGAAGCCGATTTTAGCATTCACGGAATCACGGACTCGCGCACACGTTTCCTCGCGGTAGTTAAGGCGTTACCGCGCGAGTTTAACAGGTACGTAACACCTAGTATGTTTACTAGTGATGTTCCCGAACCTTACGAAACGCTTAAGCTATCGATTTTAAAACGAGGAGACCTAACTGATCGACAACGGTTAGACCAACTCCTTAACAATATCGACTTGCAACATGGTTCTGCGACGGATATGTTGCTTAGAATGAGAGAGGTTATCGGCCAACGAACTTTCGATGATGGCCTATTTAGACAACTTTTCTTGTCTAAACTCCCTCAACAGGTGCAGACAGTGTAGCCTATTCATTTTAAAAACACAAAGTAGATAGTACTTTAATGCCTCATTCCAGGAGGCCGGACAGGCGTATTATCTTCAGCACCCTTTGATTCTGGATTTTTGATCGTTTCGTCTACACTTAACAGAAGACAAGCCGCTTCGGTGGCCGATATTATGGAATTGCTTTTCACAAGTGCTGGTTCCCAGACGCCACTTTCGAAATTGTCACATACGCACTCTTTTTCAATGTTAACGCCATACCAAATATCGCCTTTTGCATGACTGTGACGCAGTTGGTTTAGAATAATAGTTGAGTCCAATCCAGCATTATCGCACAATTGTCTAGGGATAACTTCAAAAGCTCTAGCCATAGCGCTTATCAACAGTTGTTCACGCCCACCAATTTGAAGAGCTTCTTTGCGAAGATAGCCACTGAGTTCCATTTTGGCGGCTCCACCACCAGCAACAAATGCATCATTTTTAACAGCTCTTCGAACTACCATGATAGCATCATGCAGTGACCTTTCAGTTTCTTCCATAAATTGTTCAGCTCCACCACGAAGAATAATTGTGCAAGTTTTGGCTTGCGGACAGCCTTCAAATATATTAAATCTTTCTGATCCAATCTGAATTTCCCCAAAGGATTCACAAGTTCCGAGAGCATTATCTGAAAGTCCATGAACAGTTGTTTGAACGCTTCCACCACAAGCCATTTGAGTACGTTTTAGATCATCTTCAGGTGCACGACCGGCACAAAACATATCACGATCAGCAAAAACTGAGTAGCGACATCTCCAATGGGTAGCTTGGATAAAACAATTTGAACCCCTTTTTCATATAAAATATCTAGCTTTTCATAAAGGATCTTCTAAGGCCGAGGTTTTTTCCGTCAAAGAAAAACACCAATCGACCTCGACTGACATGGCCGAACTATGTCACACGCTTACACGATATCTTAGAGTTCGCAATGACCGTAGTCGGTCAAAAACCCCGCGTAGAAGCGCTTCACGTAAGCGATCTGGCTCTCGACCACGAGAGACAGACAATCCCGACTAGTGCTGGTATCACAACCAGTACGGTAAGTTTTCCAGAAATTGCAGGAAACCTTGCAATTATCCGACTTCAAAATCGACTGACACGAATAAGATTTCGGGAAACTTCCCAGCCGGCACGCGTTAACGGCAACAGTAGCCGGCGAACACAGCCGCCTCTTATATGTCACGTATGTGACTACGAAAGTTCGCTACCTCGTCGACACTGGCGCAGAAGTTAGCGTTCTTCCCGCGAACTCCAACGACATACTTCACGAGTCTGTTTTAAGTTTACAGGCGGCAAACGGAAAGCCGATCGCTACTTACGGTAAAAGGTGGGTTTACGCAAACCCATACACTGGATTTTCGTTGTTGCAGATGTTTCTATGCCAATCATTGGTATAGACCTGTTACAACACCACAATCTACTCATCGACACACGCTCACGAAAGTTAATAGACGGAAACACTAAGTTATCTGTTAGCGTAACTCCTTGTTCCGGTTGCAGGTTATCCCCAGTCACGATTAAACACACCATAGACCCCTTGTACTAATCAGTACTCGACAAATACCCCGGGATATACCAATCGCAATCGAAATTACCTTGTGTAACCAGCAATGTTACACATCACATCTCGACTACAGGACCACCTGTATTTTCGAAAGCTCGAAGACTCGCTCCCGAGAAGCTTAGGTTGGCTAAAAACGAATTCGGCCACATGATGGACCTAGGGATAATTCGACCATCGAATAGTCCATGGGCATCTTCATTGCACATGGTCCCTAAAAAGGACAGCAATGATTGGCGGCCAACTGGTGATTATCGGCGTCTGAATGCTAAAACCATTCCCGATCGTTACCCGTTGCCTCATATTCACGATTTGACAGCTACCTTGAAATGTACAACTGTCTTTTCGAAAATCGACTTGGTTAAAGCTTATGACCAAATTCCGATGGCACCTGACGACATTCCTAAAACCGCCATCATCACTCCTTTCGGTTTTTACGAATTTCTACGAATGCCTTTTGGTTTAAGAAACGCGGCTCAAACCTTCCGAAGGTTTATAGACGACGTCTTACCAGGTCTCAACTTCGTACATGCGTATGTTGATGACTGTCTAATAGCATGTCCGGACAGAGAATCACATCTCCAGCATCTGGACATTGTTTTCGATCGACTCCAAAGGCATGGCATTACTGTCAACATACAGAAATACCAAATCGGAACAAACTCCTTAGACTTCCTAGGACACACCACTGATGCTCAAGGCATCCGATCCCTTAGGAGCAAAGTGGCGGCCATTCTGGATTACCCAGAACCGACAACGATCAAGCAGTTACGAACTTTTAACGGACTTGTAAGTTTCTATAGACGGTTCATTCCTAAATGCGCATCCCTAATGAAACCGTTAACCGATAAACTTCGTGGAAATGCAAAATCAATTAGTTTAGACGACATAGCCCGTAAAGCATTTTCCACAGTTAAGGAACACATCGCTAAAGCAACCTTGCTTGCTCATCAGGACACTCAAGCGCCCATTATTATCGCCGTAGACGCATCCGACTCAGCAATCGGAGGAGTCTTACAACAATGGGTTAACAACTCATGGCAACCTTTAGGATTTTTCTCGAGACGGTTGCTAGACGCGGAATCTAGGTACAGCACGTTCGGTAGGAAACTCCTAGCTATGTATTGTGCTGTACGGCATTTCCAACATTCCATCGAAGGAAAAGAATTCACGCTTTTTACCGATCACAAACCTCTTACCTTCTCTTTAAATTAATCTTCAGACAAGTACTCACCTCGAGAATCTCGACAACTCGACTACATTTCGCAGTTTACTTCAGACATACAACATATTTCTGGAGCTAACAATGTAGTCGCAGACGCCTTGTCTCGAATAAATTCCTTGAACAGTTTCCAGGGAATCGACCTTCTTAAACTCGCTCAGCTTCAAAAAGAAGACATTGATCTTCAGCATGAGTTATCCTCAACAACTCTTAAACTACTTGTTAAGCAGTTGGGAACAGGTAAGGAAACCTTACTCTGTGACACATCTACAGGTAGGGATCGTCCAATTGTACCAAAACATTATCGACGCAACGTCTTCAATACGTTGCACAATCTCTCTCATCCAGGTGCTCGTGCAACAATCGAACTTATAGCCGAACGCTTTTGTTGGCCTGGCATGAATAAAGACGTGAGGGAGTGGGCACGCTCCTGTGTAAGCTGTCAGAAATCTAAGGTCGTAAGACACAACAAATGTCCCTTAGGTTCTTTCAAAACCCCTGACGCTCGTTTCGACCACGTCCATCTAGATTTGGTAGGACCCTTACCCGACTCGAACGGATACTCATATCTCATAACATGCGTAGACTGTTTCACTCGATGGCCGGAAGCAGTACCGATTAAGGACATTACTGCTGAAACCGTGGCCCGCCCTTTCGTCGAACGATGGGTAGCAAATTTCGGCTTCCCTTCCACAATCACTACAGACCGCGGACGCCAATTCGAATCTGGACTTTTCCGTTGTCTGACCTCACTATTAGGAATCACGCGTTTCCGAACGACCGCCTACCACCCACAAGCAAACGGGTTGGTAGAACGTTTTCATCGACAATTAAAAGCTTCATTATCAGCTTCAAACGTTTCACAGTGGACAGACGCTCTTCCACTCGTCTTGCTAGGTATCCGCAATGCAGTGAAAGCTGACATTGGATACACGGCATCTCAACTCGTTTACGGAACGACACTTCGACTCCCAGGAGAATTCGTAGATCCTTCAGCTTCTTCATTGAACATGGATCTAAACTCTTACACAAGTAGGCTTACAAACGCTATGCGTTCAGTTAAACCTGCTCACACTCGACCTCAATCAACTGATGTTTTCGTCCAACACGAATTACGACATAGTACACACGTCTTCGTTCGTCGAGACTCACATCGACGACCCCTCGAATCAGCATACGAAGGACCCTTCAAAGTTCTTCAACGCGAACCTAAGTACGGTACGAAAGATAGCATCAGTATCGATCGACTCAAAGCTGCGTACCTAGAAGAAAACCCTAGCTACGTCGATTTTCCTTCGGTACAAGAAAACGACACAGTTACTACACTCGTAGTACCCTACACGACAACCGACACACAACTTGATACTTCGTCAACGTCGATAGAAAAACCTAAAACAACGCGTTCTGGAAGACGAGTAAGATTTCCAGAACATCTTAACGAATATTGCACGTAGGACATAAGCTTTATCTTGAACTACCCTTCCATAGTTCATTCTAAAAAAAAATTTTAATATGATAATTTTTTATTTAAATAAAAAAACCAAAAAAAACAAAACATTTTTATCTTTTTTTGAGCGTATATATATATTTTTTATATATAAAAAAAAACAAAAAAAAACACTTTTTTCCTGATCGCTTTTACGCTGTTGGTAAGTGTATTAGTTTATTTTTTTTCCGCTCATCTTCTGTCCCTACGCAAGTACGAGTGTATTTCCGACATGCACTCACACGTTTTATTTTTCCTCTTTTCCAGGACGGCTGGAAAAGAACGACGAACTTTCGCAAGGAACCGAAATTTTCATTGTACTATATTTCTTTATTGCTATGTTGTACATTTTGGTCCCATAGTTTAAGGAAAGACGACCAGACGCTGCTAAACGAAGCAAGCTATCAGAAGAGTGTTTACCAACGACAAACTCGTTAGGTTTAAACTTCTGGCTGGTCACGTCTTAGGGGCATCACTACCTCACTAGGGGGGGAGTGATCTGTAGCTGTAAATAATTCCCCAAAATCAATAGCTTTCTAAGTGTTCGACATTGGATGCTGACCACGTGTTTAAGTGGACTTGTTTAGCTAAAGGCTTTCGGTCATGCATCCGCATCAGATCACGTTTCGACTCGGCGTGGGACACAGCTCCTACGTTTCATTAGCCAGCTCATAGAAAAGGTCCTCGATATATTGGTAACGAATCAAATATATCTTTCCTGCCTCTTCTCGTCTGACTTCTGATTTCTATCTGACTGGGAACGATCAAATATAGAAGGTGCTACTGGTAGCTAGTTGTAAAACTAGAACATCCGTTGCATCATCAACACGAATCGTTTCCAATTCTGAGAAAGTGTTTCAATTCACAACAAAAATGCACGATCCCAGTCAAATCAAGCAACACAATCAAAGAGTGAACAATCAATATGGTCGCCGACAAGATAAAATATAAATTAAAACAACATAGATACAGTTCACAAAGAAACATAGAAACGGTGAAAGCGACAGAAAAAGTGAGAAGACTCTAATGAAATGAAACATTAAAATCTAAATTGGCATCAAAAGAATTAACAATAATCAACAAATAAAGAAACCATTAGGAACAAGTTGCAAATGAATGCATGTAGAGATTTTCACACACGAAAATTTAAAAATGGATCTTACAATTGTCATTCAATAACTTACACTTATTAAGAAAGCCTCACCATCACATTTTAATAAATCCATGTGAACGTTATCCTAGACAATGGCGACATGCACAACTGTTGGTGACTACGTTTTAGAGCCTATGAATAAAGGAATATTTAGCACTCTTGAAGACGCGAACAAAGTGTACACGAAAAAGGAGAGATTTACAAACTGGCGATCTGGTCTTGACCATTGAAAATACTTATGTAAGAAATAGCTGGCCTAAAAGTCCAGTAGTAAATGCTGATCCGGGAGATGCTTTCGTCAGACAAGCAAAGACCAGTACACCAAAAGGTATAATTACTGGAGATTTACGTAAAATTTGCTTATTAGAAGGACCCGACGATTTAGTAGTACAGTGTAGAAAGACTTTCCAAAGTGACTGTGGCATAATCATCTCTGAATGTCTTTATGCTAAATTTAGCATATTAATATCTAATCAGTGAGAGTAAGTAAAGATATGCTGTCTTTGTGGGTCAGTGTTGAGTCTGTTTTACATTATGTCCCCACTCACTTCTTGTTAAGGATGTCAATTCCCCTGAACTTAATTGATAAGTGACTTAATTTTATTTTGGAAATTTGAATTTAGCTGTCTTCGCGCCAAACGAGCTCTTTTTACCTTCGCGTCATATTTCCCACTTGTAAGCTATCTTAAACGCTCTTGGTCCGTTGTTTCTTTATGTGTGCTATTTATTAATGATGCCCAAGGACCATTTGCTGCTGTATATATACACTTGACTTTTTCCCTTATGCAATTGCTGTGCTTCTGGCTGCTACGGAATATAACTTCCCCGCTTCCAACTTGGACTTCTTACTCTAGTTAGCTGGGTCTGGGTCGCGTCAGAATAGCTAGCTTATCGGACCCTGGTTACAAGTCTTTGTTCCCTTCGCTACTAGTGAATTCGTAGCGCTTCAGATATAACACTTCTCTTCCACTGTTTTATACTACTTCTTTGCATTCAGTAAATAGTTGTGTTCCCAGCAATATTTACGCTTATGTTGTAACGTGCCGTGTAAAATTCTGAAACATTTACACATAACGTTCATTGTATTCATCATTGTGATTTATTTATCTCAAACACTAACAGTTACCCACAATTTTGTGCATTTTGCTTAACCTTTGTTTAAACGCAACAGCTCTCATACTGTCTGCTATTGGTTCGGTTTTGCTTGTTGATAAAGTATTACCAGGTTCAGACGTAGTTGTCTTTTGCACCATCGTATGTTGTAATCCTTTATGTTACTATTAAAGGAACCCCTTTTTATTTCATACAAAAGGACGCGTGAAACGCTGTAGACACCCCCACAAGTTAATATTTGTAACTAAATTTTGTATATTATTTAATAAATAAACGCTATTTTAGGAGATTCATTGTTTTGTGAGCTTCGATTTTGCGCATATAGAAATTAGGTGACTAAGACGCTTAGATAGTCTTAGCACCGACTTACTACACATAAGGGCTACATGCTGTCATCTCTGCTCGGTATTCACTCCTGTGACTAGTTAATTCTTTATTGCTTCCCGGGCTTTTGACAAGACTTTGCTGTATTGCGGAGTGCGGAAGGCGTTTTGCAAGGTGTGGTGGGTCGTCTCAGGTCACTAATAATATGGTTACCGACAGGTATCCGAAATCTTGACAACTAGTAGGTGTTATCATACAAAATACTAACCGTCCGCAGCTTTCTTCATGTATACTGGTGGAGCAAGACATCAATACATTAGAACCCATACACGCAAGCAAATATATTAAGGCCTCATAATACCTTATTTAGCAAATTTACCCTGAATAAATGTTTCATGCCATTTGTCACCCATCAGCAAGATGTACCTGTAATTTTTAAGGAATTGATTCTCACTGTGTTTCGATCTCATGTAACCCAAAGTCAAGATCCTTTAGTAATCTGACGTTGAAATACAAAATAGAACGGCTTTGTCAGTCGCTACATGACACTTAAGCAACCTACATATTACAGTATGTAGCCCCGAGAACTTGGAGAAACAATTAAGTTATTTTGTGCTTCTTAGCAGTTATCACCGGATATCCAACCATCCAGTAAGATTATGAAAAGTAAATGCAAACGAAATTGGTTAATTACGTGATGGATTTGTGACTAAGAAGACTAATTTACTTGTATTTTTAAAAAATGCATGTTACTAAATGGAAGACAGTAAATAAAATATAGGAAGATGTTAGGTAATGACAATCGTATCCTTTAAACTCACGATACAAGCACATTAGGAACAAAATCAAATGAAAGTGCAACTCTTGACTACCTTGAAATGGCTAGTTTTTTAATGAAGAGCATAAAGGAAGCAACAAGTATAAGAATTGAGGTGTTTTTATTATCTTGGACTCACAATATGATAATGTGTTCATCATAAGTATATATTAGTAACGATGACCGAACGAAGGCAGATATACATGTTGGGATTATGCTAAAAGATACATTACAACAATGAAACCAACTAACACAAATAGACCAGAAGGAAAATAATCACAGGATAGACATAAATAAATGTGCACATTTAAACCATCTCAGTAATACTAGTCTAATTCCGCAGCTTACATAAGCAAAACACACGGGGAAAATAAGTAAATGTTATGAAATTAAAGTAGAAATTAGTATAATGTCCAGATATACTTATATATTCACATAAAAACTTAATTTTTATTACGCCGTAGTTGCCGAGAAACACGATCCAAATTAGATTTGACATGTTCCCTGGTCCGTACACGTGCATCGCTAGTTTCTAAATCTAAGCCCAAACGAACTAAACGTGGATTAGCTAGTATTAATTCGGTCAAATTCTGTTCGATTTTTACACCGAGTACAGATTGACGTTGATTGGCCAAATGTAAGTCGGTTATTCCACTTTTTTCATGACTTATTGACTCTAATAAACGAACGAGGATAACACCTGAAATATTTGAAAAAAATCATGATAGATAAGTAGTTTGATTAATTAAGAGTAAAAAAGCAACTATTTTCAAAAGAAAACCACCGAAATATAACATCATCGTTCGTTTTGTTCACTGACTACAATCCATTCATATTGAACTACCCAATGACTCTATATGAACACTAGGTAGTCTATAGTTCCGATCTTTAAAAGCTAAACAAAATTCGCGAGTCCAGTCCTTTCTATTTTGGTTGCGGGGACATGTTGGATGAAATTATCTACTACCTGCTCTTGCTTCTGCTATCAGTAAAACGCACCACACAAAAGATGTGAGAACAATGAGCGAAAAGTCATCTTACTGCGAAACACGTTGTTTATTGGCTTAAGACATTACCAGACTGTTAGAACATTTTCGTTGGGGTTAGGTATGGTATTCTAGGTAAAGATGACAAATTGGTTGATAAAATTGCAAACCTTCATAGAATGAGGTGGTTGGGACCAAGTATGTCCAACCACTACTTTGACAGAATGTTCTTACTGGTAGAGATACAGGTTTGACCAGATAAAAAATAGAACCAGTCCATCACGTCACCAACTGCGGGACTTGGCTATGTTAGTACATACAGACCAACTGTGATCAAGGTTTGGAGACATATTTCATGATGGCTTACAGTGGCTCACATGCATTTACTCTTCATCTTAATCTAGACCATAAGCTAAAGTACTCTACTATAAATACCTTATTATTCTGCATTTTCGAACCAAACTCTCAACATCCAGTCTTTCGCATTACCAGTGTAGCACGGTAATTAGTGTCAATGCACATTTGTGGCAGGATCTATATTATGACTGACTGACCGACAGAAAACACTCGCAAATCGAGAGAAGTTTAAAAAAAAAAACTAATTCTGGAGAATTGAGTCATAAAACCAAAAGACTACAATTGGTTTATGTTCATTATATAACTGTATCTCAAAGTCTAAAATCATGTTCCAATGAAAGGAACATTTGTAACACCAAACGTAAACTTGTAGCTGAAAGGAAACCAATATGAAAAAACTTAATGTTCCTAATGGGATAGTGTACAATATACACATAAACATATAATCTGGAATCAAAAATTAAGTGGAGGTTACATATTTTTGCTATTGATTGATACTTGCATTTAACAAGAACAGTATAATAACAAGCATGTGCCTGTATGCATACGTTTATATGCATTACATATGAATATGTACAGGGAGATCACATGTAAATGTTGACAAATATATATGAAAGCAGATTTTATAGAATACCAAAATAAGGTTCAATTAACGTTGAAATAATATATCTCTTTTAGGAAAGTTTTTAATAGCAAACTGTAAAAGGTGATGAATGAATGTTTAAATATACATATACCTTAAAAAACCCTTATCATTATTCCAGTAACATGGAACAGAGTAATGATTCACTCAGACCTTGGAAAGGATGGATTGTTAAACGACGATTATCACATAAACGGAAGCTTCGTAACTAAACTATTTAGCACATAGAACACAATCTCAGAAATATGTATGTATACCAACTTAATCAGATGTAAGATGCCTCGAATCCGCTATTTCATTGTGACATTTTGGCACATACTACACTCCTATAATTCTTGCTAAGTTGTGGCAATATGTTTACGTCTACTAATGCCTGAATTTATTCTTATGAGTTGAGGCATGTCAAATTCCGCTTGTAATTTTAATATTTGTTCACAGTAAACATAGTGTTTTCGACTAACCAGTCAAAAAGTTCGACTCCAAATTTAATACTTTTAATATAGTATTTTTTTGCAACATATCAAAGAACGGTTCAACCATTGCGTTTGTTAAACGTGTTGCTGCCATATGCAGTTCAGTTAACTGGGTATTCTTTGTAAGAGCGGCACATAAGCGTTGTACCACTTCAGCACTTATTGTTTTGATATTATTTAAATTTAATCTAGTTAATTCTTCGCTGTTACTTTCCAATTTTTTTATACTACCCTGAAAGGAATAAAAGATAGAAAGAAAAATACAAAAAGTTTAACGTGAGCAAGTAATAATTGATGAATCCAGGTATCAAGATACGTGAAATTTTGAAGGAATAAAGCAGTCATTCCTTTTTGAAATAGTAGTTTATTTTTTAGGTGAGAATAAAAATGAACCATAAAAATAAACAATTATACACTGTAGGTTACCAGATGGGACCCACATGACTGAAAAACACCTTTATAGAAGATGTATTGGTGCCTACTATATTGAATTTTTAAGTATTGAAAATGCAAATACACGAACAAGTTTTAAAAGTAAATGAATTCCTGGTTAGTGACCACTAAATAGAGGGTCTAATGTCGACTAATCACGATCTTTTTGGGATAGCAGTGTTAGCGATAAGCAACATAGAATCTCACACACGTGAAACGCCTTCAGTCGCCACACGACATCATGATAAGACTACCAAGATGGATAGAAAAGTAGTAGCAATACTAATGACAGAATGAAGAACATGAATTTGACATGCTGGGTCAGCTAGACAGGTCGAAAGTTAAACCAACTCAATTGGCCAACCTTTTGTTTAATTTCTTAAGGAAAAAGGCACACGCTATTGGTTGAGAATGATGATTTATTTTCTAAGCGAGAAAGTTGTATATTTATGAATAGGTGCATATATTCTCGATTTAGTTTTAGTCAAGAAAGCTTCTTCCTTACTCTCGGTTTTCTCACTCAAATAGCTCATTTGGGGTCGCTTATAGGAAGTTTTTATGCCCAGTAACGAGATCGAAGGATCAAAAAACATAACAGATATGAGAAGAAAAAACGAATTTGCTGAATAAGTACAAAGCCATTTTAAAACTCAGTATCCAGAAGTAGACAGAGAATAAATGTATCTGGACCATTAAGCTATCAATTAAAGTCTATAACCATTGATCATGGTGATCGTGCATACCCGAAGAACCCAGTATAGACCTACCAATAAGTCTTGGTTCAACAGTCAACGGCTTTATAACGTCAACATGGTATCCATTTTTGAATATATTTCTTTAATTAGTATGGAAACTGTACATAATACTGGAATTGATATGACAGTGTCATACAGTTTTACAGGCCAGTCGGCTAGCTAATATCTCAAAAACTGAAGAACAGTCTATTCACTCCCTTTGTTAATGAAAAAACTTATTGTAAGAAGAAAAGGCTTGGATGTATAACTTGACACTAATCCACCGCCTTTGACATAACTAGACATCCTGAGGACACACAACAAGTAACAACTTGAAAGTATAAAATGTCAATCATTTGTGACTGAACCAACACGATACTACAGTAAAGGGTTAAGTATGAAAGGCTAAATTACAACGCGCAATCAGAATAGAGAGTCAGTCAGTTACAACGTAGAACTTCGTACGTACGTACATCAGTTCGAGTTGCCACACCACATCAGCACAGAGATGCAATTGTCGATTCAAATCCCATAGTGGTAGAAGTAGTAAGAATATAAGCAGTAAACCGAAAGATTAGGGTTTGAAGATGTTATTCAAGGAGTGTAATATAGTGAAATAAATTTGGAAAGAGAAAAAGGATAGTAACATAGAGAATTCAAAAGGTTAGACCATTGCAAACGATTTTCAGCTATGTCATTCAAGGTCTAACCATCGATTGCTATCATCTCGCGGATCCCATACAGGTAGTCTACACCTACCAACATAGCTCAGTCCAATTATCAGTGACTTCATGGATTTGAGCCATGTTTTTGCCTGGCCGCCCCTAGCTTTCTCCCAACTATTCCTACACCATAAAACATCGCACTTCGGAGCAGTGGGTGGTCGGGCATACGTAACACGTGTCCCGGCCATCTCAACTGATGAAGTTTCACCACTTCATCAATCGATTTACCATCATTACCTAGTACCCGTTTCCTAACAACTGAATTATTCACCCGGTCGTCCCAGGGTATAGGAGCAATGCTTCGAAGACACCTGTGAACAAATACTAGTAGCCTACGAATGTCCTCTACTCTTATCGATCATGTTTCACTGCCATAAAGTAGGACGGAATGAACTTCTGCACAGTACACACGTCCTTTGGTTGCTAGACGAATATCTCGCCTACGCCATAAATTACGCAAGTTGGTGAAAGCTAGTCGAGCCTTCTGTATCCGTGCTGAAATTTCGTCACACATCAGACCACAAGAGCTGATGAGACTCCCAAGATAAGTGAAGCGATCAACACGCTCAACTACTTCACTCCCTATCATTAGTTCAGGCGTAGATGCAACTCAATCCTGAAGTAACATTTTGCACTTCGAGGGAGAGAATCGCATCCCGAACATGCCTGCATAGTTGCTTATAGTGGTCAGAAGACTCTGCATTTTGTCAGTGTCTTCACCAAATATAACTATGTCGTCTGCGTATTCTAAGTCAACAAGTGAGCCTCCCGGTAAAAGTTCAACTCCTGGAGATTGAGATGATGAAAGTGTAATCTCTAGAAGCATGTCAATGACAAAGTTAAACAAGAATGGGGAGAGTGGACAGCCCTGACAAACACCACTTGAGGTAACCAATTCTGATGACAATTCGCCATAGGCTCTAACTCGACCAGTTGTGTTCGAGTAGAGAGCCTTTATGAGGTTAATGTACTTCTTTGGTACTCCTTTCACTGACAAACACTGCCAGAGAACCTCACGATCAACGGAGTCAAATGCCGCCTCAAAGTCAAGAAATACTACTATTGTGGGACGTCTGAATGTGTCTATGTTCTAGGACCTGACGTAGAGTGAATATCTGGTCTATACAACCACGTCCAGGTCGAAAACAAGCCTGGTTTTCTCTAGTCTGCTCTTCACGAGCTTTGATTAAGCGTCGAAGTATTATTGAAGCTAATATTTTAGACACTATATTAGTCAAACTGATCCCTCTGTGATTGTCACAGGAGGTCTTTTGTCCTTTCTTATAGACTGACACAATCAGTGATTGGGACCAGTCACATGGAATTACGTCCAGTTCCCTGATTCTACCTAAGACCTCAGTCAATCTCGTTGCTAGTACTGGACCACCATCCTTAAAAATCTCAGGGGTCAACCTGTCAGGGCCTGCTGCTCTCCCTCGCTTCAGATTTCCTATAGCTTTTTCAACCTCGTAGAGATTTGGAGGACTTACATCAAGTTGCCATTCAGGACGACTGGGGATCGTGGGTAACTGAAGTGTGGCTGAAGGCCAGTTGAACTGATCCCTAAAGTGTTCTGCCCATCGATCCAATCGCCTGGATTGAGAATGAATGATATGCCCATCTTTATCTGAGAAAGTTTCGCCGATATTTGTGTTTCTAATACCAGTTTCTTTAACAAGTCTAAATAGCTGTCAGCTGTTACCTTTTGCCACTGCCTTTTCCATCTCTCTTGCTTTCGCTACCCACCACTGTTCACGATCATTGCGTAGGCTTTTTATTAGCCTGCGCTTAAGCTGACTCCGCTCTTCGTTATCTTTAGAGCCAAATGGGATGAGTTTTTGAGCATCTATCAGTGCGATAGATGTTGTTGAGATCCATTGTTTCTCCCTAACCTTATGGTTTACCTTACTAGCGGATATCACTGCTGTTTCCACAGCTTTTCGGATGTCATTCCACGCTGCTTCGGGGTGGGCACAACTTACATGTCTGTCTAACTGTTTTTCCAGTTGTTCCTGAAATATATTCTTAGCTTGCCTATCATTAAGTAGAACCCTTGGAGGCTTCCCTGCAGTGTCTTTCTTACGTCCAGTAAGACGCAGACAGATACTTGCTCGCACTAGAGCATGATCTGAATCTAAACATGTGCTCCAGAATGAGCGACAGTCTTCTATCGAGCCCCTCCATCGTTGGTTGATAGCGCTGTGATCTAATTGGGTCCAACGTTGGGACGAATTCGGGGGTAGCCATGTCAAAAGATGTTTTTCCTTATGCTGAAAGTTAGTATTTGTAAGAAATAGGCGGTTATCTGAGCACAGCTGCAATAGACGGTCGCCATTATCTGTTCTTTTAGCCATGCCACCATGAGATCCACCCAGGTGTCTTTCCCTTTCACTTAGTTTACCTACTTGAGCATTAAAGTCACCAGCCACTATTACTACATCAGAACGCCTAGCTTTTCGGAGAAGGTCAGAAAGTTTCCTGTAAAACTCATCTTTTATATCGTCTGAGCTGCAGTCAGTGGGAGAGTAGGCAGAGACGACGAAGAGGCAACGACGAGTTTCCCTATCTTTCTGAGTCCTTACTGATCCGTTTAGTCGGACAGCGCATAGACGACTGTCAACTGGGATCCAGTCTAAAAGATCTAATTCTGCCCTAGGACTTAATGCTATACCTACTCCAGCGATGCCACGGGAAGCAGCATCAGGGCTTCCAGACACACGAAGCGTGTATCGAGATGGTTCTTTATTTTGATTAGGTGAGGTCAAATGAATGACACTACTCGGATCTTGTATGCGCGTTTCGGAGACGCAGCACACATCGATGGTGTAAGATTCTAGAGTTCTAGCCAAGGAAGCCTGTTGTCCTATTTGGCACAATGTTCGGACATCAAAAGTTCCTATATGTATTTTAGAGCGTGGTTTCAGGAGACCAGGAATAACGTTCCGTGTACTCGAATCGTTTGCCCTAGCGGTGCGATGTGATAAAAGGACGTGGGAAGGGTTAGTCGTGGAGATAAGAGAGTTATTAGGAGGTGTAGGAAGGATTTGAAAGTGACCAACTTGGTCTCGTGTGTTGTGACGGGTATGAGGGCTAATATCACTTCCCGGTTGCCCACACCGTGGAAGGGTTCTTCTAAAGGTACCTGAAAAGGAAATTGGGTTAGAAGTGGTCTTAATGACCTGAGAGCGTTACCGCAGTGCCCAAGGGACAACTGCTTGAGGTCGGTCACACACGAACTTTTTGTGTTAGCTCCGTTCTTTAAAGAACCTTACCGCCGGAGACGGATATTCATGGGATAAGGCGAGGTGTGCATTTTTAAGGTCGACCTTTTCTAACCCCACCCCTCCTTGTAGGAAGGCAGCATCGCTGTTATGCTGGTTGTCTGAAGGAAACACCTTACTGCCGTCACACCTCTGTACAGTCAGCAGTACGACTTCGCCTTCGGACCTTGGGATTGCTGCTATTAGTCTTACCGCTCTTCAACCGACCTGTCTGGCATGGTAGGACCTTGAGAAACGATTGTTCAAGCCAGCATAGCTCGATTGGATCATCACGACAGGAAAGCCCGACCACCACGTCAAGGTGGCAGCAACGGTCGGGTAAGTAGTCTTACGTGAAGGAAAAACTGTTTAGAGCTCCTCAGTTTTTAAATGATGTTAAGCTATAAAGAAAAAGGATTAACCAAGTACAAGAAAAATCGAGACAAACCTCAACATCTGTCATATTTAGTGGTTCATCTGGCATGACTTTAAGACGTTCAGCTTTAGCCACACCAGAAAATCCACCCATTTCCAATTTACGTCCTTCTAAACTAGCGTGGAACTGTACTTGATTCAACATCCCAGTAAAACCCAGAACAGCAGCCAAATCGACAAGTTCATCTTCAGTAGCATTTTCAAGAGCCTTAACAAAAATATACCATATTTATAGTGTAGGTTCACAAAGGTTATGCTACTTGATACAATACCGTTAAAATTTCATTTATCAATACAATAACAAATGGAGGTAAAAACCAGTGATCAATAAGGGAAACTGTACAAACACGTCGGTTATTCTTTCTTGTTCATTTTATGTAGACGAGAAAGGAATTACGATCGACAGTTTCAGAGTGAATGGTGTTTAAATAAAAATAAAGCTTATAAATATAAAACAAAGTAATTATTCACCAGATAATTTAAAATATTGTTAGCTAACAGTGACCGATCGTGAAAGTTTAAATTAACCGTTAGATAACTTTTGTTTCCTGCCACAAAAAAAGCTTGTTAAATGGCAAACAAACCTCTGAAGTTTGAACGGAGTACGAGGAATGACTTCATATTTACGAAACACAATGTTAGAGTTCGTAGGATGACCAGCAGAACTCCTCGTCAACCGGTACTAATCACCGATAATACCTAACTGTAGCTGATTATTTTTGAAATATTTAGGTTTTTCAACTGCTACAGTTGAGGATATTATTGTCATGATAATCACACCCAAGACATAATTAAATGGGATGTTCGAATAATATGTACGGAATACTAGGGCATATTATTTATAAACTACGACATTCAGTGTCCAACAATGGACCCCTGAAAACCGAAACAGACCGACATAATCATAAGCAAAGTTATGTGAACAAATAATCTGAAAGTTTCGCCCGAAAAAGTGCTAGTACTTTAAGCATGTAAAATTATCAGCTAAAGAAATCATCACCAGTTTTTCATCTTAATTTTCGAACAGATATAATTCCAAAAATGACAAAATAACATCTCACACAAAAACAAACCGGAAACGGAAGAATAGAATTGACAGAAATACCTACTTATTGATACTACAAGCATTTCTATTGAGTCTTAGTGTAGGTTTTTGCAACACAACAGATAAAATCGTATATATAATTTTATACCAACAGAAAGAGATATGGAAAACCTAACACAATCTTTGAAACGGAGATTCGCTGCGTTGCATTAATGCTTCAGACATAACCTTGAATGTGTTAAATGAAATTATATGCCTATGTTAACAGAAGAAGAGCATTCTGATGCGAGTACAAGTTTTATCAGTTAGTTAATTAAAGAAGTACTGGGTTTTGAACAAAGCCGCCTAAGCGGCAGCCAATCTTACTAAAATATAATACCTCACCGATCGAAAGAACAAACCTCGAGCACCTAATATTTTTTTACTGAATAATTTGTCTTTTTACTACCAGTCGAGTCAGAGCTTATGGCGAACTGTCATATGATTTTACAACCTCAAGTGGTGTCCGACAAGGTTGTCCACTATTCCCATTTTTGTTTAACTTCATTATAGACATATTACTGGAAACAACACTCTCGTCGACTGAATTTTCAGGAGTTGAACTTCTACCAGGACGTACACTTATCGACTTAGAATACGCAGATGACATAGTCCTGTTTGGTGAAGACCCTGGCAAAATGCAGAGTCTTCTGTTGGAACTCAGCAATAATGCCAGGATGTTTGGGATGCGTTTCTCCCCCTCTAAATACATATTGTTACTTCAGAAGTGGCCTGTGTCAACACCTGAACTAAGGATAGAGAGTGAAGTAATTGAACACGAGGACAATTTCACTTATCTTGGAAGTCTGATCAGCCTAATCTCAGCACGGATTCAGAAAGCTCGTTTGGCTTTTGCCAACTTACGTCACATATGGCGAGAACGAGATATCTTTCTATCAATTAAGGGACGAGTATACTGCGCAGCAGTTCGCTCTGTTCTACTTTACGGCTGCGAAACATGGCCATTAAGAGTAGAAGATACTCATAGGTTACTAGTATTTGACCACAGATGCCTTAGAAATATTGCTCGCATCTGCTGGGACAACCGGGTAAGTATTAGTGAGGTTCAACGCAGGGTATTAGGGAATGATGGTAAATCAGTTGATGAGGTCATGAACCTTCATCGACTGAGATGGTTGGACCATGTGTTACGTATGCCTGAACACCGATTACCACGACGCGCAATGTTGACTAGTGTAGGGGATGGTTGGAAAAGAGTTAGGGGCGGCCAAACCAAAACATGGCATCAATACTTGAAGTCACTAACTTCTAGTCTGAGCCATGTTGGTAGATGCGGACTACCTGGTTGGGGTTCGCATGACTATCGTAACCAATGGTTGGAGACTCTGGGTGACATGGCTCAGAATCGATCAGAATGGCGGATTCAAGGACGTAACAAAAGTGGCGACGGAGATTTTTTCCTTTTTAAAATATTGATTGATCCAAATCAAAATGTCTGTTTCTTTGGACGACCTTAAAACTATACTACAAATCCAGCAAGCTCAGAATGATGCGAACCAAATGAAGCTTTTAGATGCATTGATGCAGCTCTCATTTCATTCATCATCAAATTCTCAGTCAGACAGCATCGCAAGTTCTATTTGTGAATTCAATTATGATCCCGATTCTGGTATTATTTTCGATTCCTGGTTTCGCCGTTTTGAAGACACATTTCGTGTTGAATGCTCGAATCTTGATGATGCAGCCAAAGTTCGCCTACTCTTGAGAAGACTCGGAACACTTGAATATAACAAATATGTAAATTTCATTTTGCCACAAAATCCACGAGATTTATCATTCAATGAGACAGTTCAAACTTGGTCCCAAATTTTTGGTGAACAATCCTCATTATTCAGCATCCGTTATCAGTGTTTTCAAATATCTAAATCCTTATCTGATGATTATCTCACATACGCTGGACATGTAAATAAAGAATGTGAACGTTTTAGAATAAATGAAATTACAGCAGATCAATTTAAATGTCTGATTTTTATCTGTGGATTAAAGAATTCAGAAGATATGGATATACGTACCAGAATTCTATCACGCATTGAGCAGGAGCCTAATATGACCCTGAAAATGGTCACAACCGAGTGTCAACGGTTGTTAAATCTTAAACATGATTCCACGATAGTACAGCAAAATGCAAAGACATCCAATCTTGCTTCAATAAATGCATGAAGATCTCACAAACCTTCCAAACAAAAGACGGCGAACACACAGAAACCTTCTGGTAAACCACCATCACCATGTTGGTCCTGCGGATCATGGCACTTTGTGAAGTTATGCCCATTTAAGAACCACAAATGCCGCCAATGTCATCGCATTGGTCATAAAGAAGGTTACTGCTCATCAGATAAACGTCAGTCCAAACATCGTGACGTAAAGGTGAAGCGACAGCCACAGAGTCAAGTCAAAAGCACATTTGCAACTTTTAAAGTGGGATTTCAAAGTAAACGGAAGTATGTGAACTTATTAGTGAATGAAAAACCTATTCGTCTTCAGTTAGACACTGCTTCCGACATTACACTGATCTCCAAGAACACATGGCGTAAGCTAGGGTGCCCACGCATCCGACCAACAGAGCATGTTGCTCGAAATGCTTCAGGAGACATAGTGAAGCTAACTGGAGAAGTCACCTGCAACGTGCAGTTCAAGGAACATAAATTCACTGACGTTTGTTATCTAACAAATCGGCATGATTTAGATCTATTGGACTGGATTGAGAAGATTGGTGTCTTAAATAGTTTATTAAATGAAGTATGTTCTCATAATCCTTGCTCTAATTCTATCAAAAATTCTCATGATATTTCCGAATCAAATGCCTCAGTTGTGTTATGTTCCCCTGATGTTTATGAACTAAATGCTTCCGATGTAACATGTTCTCGTAATATTTCGGAATCGAATTCCTCCGATTTAATGTGTTCTCATAATGATGTCAAATCAAATACCTCCGATTTGATGTGTTCTCATAATGATGCTAAATCAAATAACTCCGATGTAACATGTTCGCAAAATGTTTCCCCATCAAATTCGTCAAACAAAGTATTCTGTCGTAATATCTCAAAATCTCATGCATCTTATTCCTCTAAAATGTCGACCACATCCCATGTAAATCATCTTCGGCAAAAACATGCAGATGTATTCCAAAACAAACTGGGCTGTTGTAAGTTCACCAAAGTTTTCTTGTCGCTAAAGCAAAATGCAAAACCTGTCTTCAGACCAAAACGACCAGTACCTTATGCTGCTCTGTCAGTCGTTGACCAGGAACTTGACAGGTTAGAAGCACTGGGTGTCATTCAGCCAGTAAATTACTCACCGTGGGCTGCTCCCATAGTAGTTGTGAGAAAGGCAAATGGGACTGTTCGCATGTGCTGATTTTTCCACTGGTCTAAATGATGCTTTAGAGGATCAAACTTATCCACTTCCCATACAGGAAGATTTATTTATCAAACTAAATGGAGGGAAGTATTTTGCTAAGACTGACCTTGCTGACGCATATCTCCAAATAGCAGTTGATCCAGTCTCCCAACCACTACTGACGATTAACACTCACAGAGGCCTTTATCAATATAAACGTTTGCCATTTGGTGTGAAACCAGCACCAGCTATTTTTCAACAAATTATGGACACTATGTTGGCAAATTTGCCAGGAGTCGCTGTCTATCTGGATGATGTTATCCTTACAGGTTCCAGTAAGTCCGATTTAATTGATCGACTTGATGCTGTTTTGACCAAAATATCTGAGTATGGATTTTATCTAAAAGAAGAGAAGTGTAAATTTTTCATGGACTCGGTAAAATATCTTGGTTTTGTTTTCGACAAAAATGGACGACGCCCAGATCCAGAAAACGTACGAGCTATCCAAAATATGCCTCCACCATCTAACGTCGCAACTCTACGCTCGTTCCTTGGTCTTATCAGTTATTACAGTAACTTTTTACCACAATTGCATCGCCTCCGAGCACCCATGAACCATCTATTATCCAAAAATGTAAAATGGAACTGGTCCACTGAGTGTCAAAAGTTTTGACAAAGTAAAGTCACTATTAATATCGGACCTACTTCTTACGTATTTTGATCCCTCACTGGAAATCGTTGTTGCCGCAGATGCTTCTGATCAT